GTGAAGTAAAACCTTTTCCCTTTGAAATTTTGAAATCTTTTACTTGCTCCTAAATGCTGTTATTAAAAAAAGGTAAGCATTTTAAATTACAAGTTTTTAAATGCTGCAATTATAATGATGTAAATGATGATGCAAAGCAGAAAGTGTTATAGGTTGGCATAAAATTGAAAAGATTTGCTCTAGGTTGCTTTAAAACCAATTGTATTTTATTATGGAAATAAAATTACATTGATTCATTTACCCATAACCAAAAATAGCATTACTTTGCAATATTATTCAACATTTCCTCCAACAGTATGTCATTTTACTCATCTTACTTTTACTTATAAAACGAAGACAATAATGCTGTCAGCCATGTTGCAGCATATTGGGTTAGGCTGCGGGTGTTAGTGTGGGGATTACAGCACAGAGTATAGGACTGGTTTGTCTGCAAGAAATTCTGAAAATGCTTTGCATATTTACATAAAGCATCTCAGAAATGGTTCTTCTCCCTTCCTATATATAGGGATATAGACTATACAACAAGTAAATCAGCATTCAGCCTTTTGTGGTTCAGCCACAGAATGGGATCATTCCCCTACAGCAGCATGCTGGCCTTGAAGCAGTTTATTTAAGATAGTGATCGCTGTCATGATATAGACTATGACAGGTTTACACAACACACAAGAAAGCACACAGGAAAAATGTATTCCAGGATCTTTCAGCACATTGGCACGTGAGCGAACAAACATTAGTATACTTAACAAATGCAGATGGTTAGTATTAAAGCTTCACGTGTAATGTGTTGAGCATTTCCTACATGACATATGATGCATAACAAACATCTGAAGTAAGCCTTCAGCCCTTCACTGTGTGAAGGCACACAGTCATATCCAAGTTTCTACTTGCTTAATTTATATTCCCTGGACAGACTGTGCAGAGAGCACAGAACTACTGTGCACTAAGGTTCAATCTCTTTATCTTTTCAGTGCATTTGGAGCAATTTAATCCTCCCTCACTGGAAGCCTGCCCAAGGAAACGATGCTCCAGACCCTCCACAAAGGACATAACATACAGTGCAGTCAGAATTTTTTTCTTTATTGACCACTGCAAGTCTGACCAGTGTACAACACTGCTTCAACATTCCCATTACAGTCTTTTTCATCTGTATGTATAGGGGTAATTGCTGAAGTTGTATTGCGTGCAAAAACTGTGTGATCATTGATGCTTCGATTGCAGTCACAATCTCTGCTGACAAGAGAACTTTGGTCTGAACTTTCCAGGAGATGAGAAGAAGGATCACCACAATGCATGAGGAATACCCAAGGGAAATGTACTTAAATATTCCTTTCCTCTGCTGGATCAACTGCTGGTCCCTGACTGTAGTAAGAATCAGAGCCCTTGTGGTGGGAGGTATAATGGCAAACACTCTCCAATAATTCTTCCCCCTTCACACCTTTATCACCTCTAAGAAAGAGGAATATGCATACTGTGCCATTTCTCTTTTAGGCTGCGTTGGGGTAGGATTGGTGTGATCGCCTCTTTTTATCAAGTCCGTTTGTGTTTCAGAGAGCACCAACAGCAGAGCAGGCCCACCCACCTACAGTAAGCTCAGACAGACTCAGCAGGTATCTTGTACTCTCCTCACTCTTTTTTCCTAAGAGCGATGAAACCTATTGGTACACTATCTTCAAGAGATCACAGTGTTAATTGAGCATTAGTACTGCTATACAATATACCTGCTGCACATCGCACGTGAGCAAAGTATGACTCTCTCTGTCAGAGACCCAAAAAGATCACCAATAAAAGGTATATACACATCCTGACAGACACCACTGCAAGATTTACTGAAATATATGGACAATGTACTGGTTGTGTTATCTTATACCTACTGCAACAGTTATACCTGAATCAAAATAATGACAGACAAAAATAAAATAATAGATTGCAACAGCACTGAACTTTGGAGAAGAATGAAATCAGACACCGACTTCCTGGTCACTTTCATTACCAAAAAATTACTAGCACATTTTCTATTTAGATTACTTTGAAAATGACTCACAAGAACTTGCAACAACCTCTTCACTTTTTTTTTTTTTTGCCTTTCCATTTATGCCTTTTTAACCACATTGCAGTTTTATCAGATGGCATACTTTCATAAATAATCCCAGGAGGGACCAGCTGATCATATAATAAACATTTTCCTCACTCAGAAAGGATCTTTTGATTTCCTGCAGCCCCTGAACAGTAGCTTTTCTCTCAGACAAATAACTTTGCATATAAAAAGTCTCACCTGTTTTTAGGCTCAGCAAATGGAGATGATATATCTGTATCTGGATCCAAAATGTGGTCAATTTCTTTTTGACTTTTTTCATATATCCTTTTTCTCTCTGTCAGCCCCTTGTTGTTATCAGCCTGAGGGAAATCATAGTAACCCTTCCTCTTGGCTTTCAAGCGCAGCTTGTTGCGGTAATGTTCTATATCAGACTTCTGCTTTAAAGCTTTGTTCACCTAAAAGGCAAAAAGACATTTAAATGATGGTGCTGGGCTGATTACTTCAAAATGGTATTGTTAAAGTGTTTGATGCACTGCATGTGTCATTTTACAGAGCACTTTTTGTACCACACTATGCCATCTGTAAGCAGTGAGGAACTGCAAGTGAACAGAGTTGCTGTATTTTTATGATTTGGCAGATGGTTAAATAATTTTAGCCTAAAAACTACATAACATCACAACAGTGACTCAGTTCACACCCACTGAAGAAAAACACTGATGATACTAGCCAATTGCCGTGACCCAATGCTATGCTTGTTTTTGGGCACAACGGGGAGAATTCACCAATGGAAAATCCAGCAGGGTCCAGGAAGTACAGACATCACCTCTGACTATATAAAGCCTTGAACGAGTCGTCATGGATGGCTGGGAAAGTATTCTGGTGAAATATTATCATATGTTCCCCTTATTCACATTCTTCCTTGCAAATCTGTTGCGGGCCACTGTCAGAGACAGGATCCGGATATAAATGGGTGATCCTGATATAATGGGTTAGTCTGATCTGCTACAGGTCAGGTTCCTTTGGACGCTCCTAAGGGATGGGAGTCCACATGAAAATTTCAGTCTTGCTGCAAATTGTCAGTTGCAAAAAAAAGAGCAATTTGCTTGGAATTTCCACTTCAAGAGTCAAATTCTACAATTTTCCCACAAATTCCAAGATAAGCATGTACAGCTGAACACAGCATTAGGAATGTCTTCCTGACAACCGACTCTTAACAGAAATTAGGTGCTGAATTCTAAACAAGCCTTTGCTCTGAGTTTAGAAAGTCTGTGGCACATCAGGGCTTAAAATACACATACAAAACGGAACACGACAGACTGCTCTAATCAAGGCCCAAATGGGAAGCCTGACAACACTGTCTTTTACTTTGTTTCTAATGGAAACTCTCAGTGTTGGTTTTAAACAGCAAAACAGGATGATTCTGGCTGATTCTTAAATGACTTCTGCAGTGTGAGTTTGCAAATGAGACACCCTTTGGCTTGTCGCTATCATGTGAACAACCATATAAATTCCCCAATCCCTTGTAAAATGGATCATTCTTGATTAAATGTACATAAAAAATATGAATAATTATGTAAGTCTTTGAGCCAAAGCATGGTTTTTGTTTGGTACTTGAATCCAACACGTGCCATCCTACTTTGTTCTCAGTAAACAATGGTACCCTCTGTGCATAGGCTGGAGTGTAGACTGAGCAAAACCATGGTCCTGTTCTGTCTTGCTTTGAATGAGAAATATTGCTCAGTAAAGAGCAGTTTGGGACTTGGAAACGTATCTCCAAGCTCAGCCACAAAATTCATGAATTCTGTTCTCTGCCTTTATTCCCGTTTTCTTAAAATGAATATGCTAGAAGAAAAGGATATTGAAAAGGTAGGAATATCCAATATAGCCTCTTCTAAGGTGGCATGCATTCATAAGATGCATTTTGAAAGAGCAGACGTTAAGTTCTCAGACCGCAGAGTCTACAGTGCTAATAGGACTTTATATAGCACCAGGGTGAAATGCTCTAACCAGCTCTCACAGGCTTGACTGACACATTTGGATGTAGCCAAGGAAACAGCCTAACACATTACCAAACCACCCTTACCTCTCCATTAATGATGGCAGATTCCTGGCTTCTGTCTGATGCACCATGAACAGCAGGTAGTGCCACAGGTTTGATAGCTATCAGCTGTACAGATCCAGAAGAGGTGTCGAAGGGATCAATGGCAGATTTGGCAATGTTATCAAAGAGAATGCCTCCTTCCTCTTCATCACTTATGGGCACTAAAGCATATCAAACTTACTTAGCATAAAGACATAGGCGTTTTTACTGTATGTTCAAGACGAAATTCAACAAGCATATGCTTTAGATTAATAATGTGCTCAGTACACTCAAGGAGCAGACCTGATAGACTTTTACACGGGAAAAACCCCATTAGATTACAGATAATCTTATATACTCAAAGGATTGTCTGGCACTCTCCAGAAGAAGGTCAACTTTCAATCTGTGCTAGTAAGATTAAAAAGAGCGACACAGAAAAAGCAGGAAAATGACAATGAAAGGCAAAGTATATCTTTTCCTAGTTTGCACATGGAAAAGATGTCATATGCACACACGTACATGGAAGTTTCCAGCAGTTGCATCTGATCTAACTCCACAGTGCTTCTTTTTCCTTTTTTTTTTTTTAATACTGTAAGAGCTTGGGCTTTCTCAAAATTTGAAAATAAATCTACTGCTTTTAGCAAGAGTTACTGTTACTAAAAATGTCATCTGTTAAAATGAAAGCATTGTTGTTATGTGTTAAAGCATGCTTAAGAAACCGATGGCTTCCAAGTTTATGTTATTTTCTGCTTTACAAAGCAACACCTCAAGTGACTGTAAAGTCACACTAATAGACTTCAAGAATGGAAAAGGCTTTTTAAAGTCTTTAAAATTAAACAGCATGGTTAAGCATCTTTATTTTTAGATTTCTACATAAATGGAAATTTCAAATCCAATCAGGCTTTTTCTCCTTCAAATTTTGTTTGTGAACCTGCATTGCGTTGTCAACTGTTGAATCATAAACCTAAGTTCATCCTCATTTTAGAAAAAAAGAATGACTTGAAAGCATGAGACAAATTCCACAAAGAAATTCTTGCAAACACTGTTCTACTGAACAGAGGAACGTTTGTTCCATCTCCTGACAGAAGCAGAGATCCTCTGCTAAAGAATGAAGGGGTCTGTTCTAAACTTATTTCTTCTAAAAATATATTCTATGTTAATATTGGATCTTCATGCAAATTACAGTGGACTTGTATAAACCTAGCAGGTTAGACTGCTATGACTTTGGTAAGAAAATATCTGATAGCTGTAACATAAAATATGAACCCACTAAGCTTATTATCTTTCTGTCTATATTCAGTGTAGATTGGAGTTGACATTACTTGAGCTTTTGAGAAATATACAGGTTAAATCATTCTGTTGTTAAGTATTTTCCCCCTGGATTCATGAAACTGTCCAAATATGATGGACAGTTTTTAGTCTGTCTGGAACACTCTGGTCTTACTGGGGTTGTTCAAACACTGTGTTTTGTAGGCTTACAGTAATGAGCAGAAGATCAGAAGCCTGGCCCATTTTAATTATTAGCCAAACTCCCACTGACTGCCATGGAACCAGGACTTCACACAAGCAAAATCAAATGAATGATGAGATACCTACATACCACAGACCGCCCTTGAACAGAAAAGGATTTACATTACAATGACGACAGACATGAGGCATGTATATTCCTCCCCCTAGGTATTTTGAACCAGTTTAATTCTTATGAAAGTTACCAGATGCAGCTTTGCAATATAGGTCTTTTCTGTAATTCAGGCACAACATAAACATCTTACAAAACTTGTGTACTGAATCAGCACAGTAAGGGCTACTGGAGTGCTAGTTTCTTATGTGCTACCCTAACAAGGTGCCTCATTTGTGACAGGACTATCTCCAAGAAAGAAAAAGATTATGTCAGAATTGTATTTTGTATAGACAAATTAAAGATGGTCTCACCTGATGATCACAACTCTCATGAGCTTGCACAGTACCTAATCAGCAGCGCACCCATTAAGAAGCTGTGAAATAGCATCTCCTCAACTACCTGTCTCAGCGTTTGCCTGAACTGAGCATGCTTGAAATCCCCTGGAGTGGGAGTGAGGCATCAAATTGCTAAACAAACAACCATCCTCTATGTATGCTACTTCAAGCAGAAAGAGCAAAGTACACCTGTGTTTCCATCCCAAAATGTTTCAGAAGAACTGTGCTTGCTGAGGCCTCAGACACAGCTGTAGTGCTCTCCAGGCACCCACAAAGAGCAGGACTAGCTACAGACACACGGCTTGTGTTCTCCAAGCTCGCTGCAGGATCAGAAACCAGGAGTTCTGCTTAGTTGCACAGAATTCCTCTGGTCATAAGGCTCATTAAATTAAAAAAAAAATTAAAGAGAATCAGTAATCCAAGAGGACAGCTACTTTTGCTGTGGTTAACTAACACAGAAGGATACACTCACTATCATTTTTGTGAGCACATCACCTGTATCTAGTGTAATGCTAATTACATGGATGTAATAGCCAAGTAAGAATAAACTTCCAGTTTCTAGTCCACCTTAGGTCACCATTTGTTCATTAAATGGCATTTACAATATAAAAGTAGTTTTTTCCATTGCCCTTTTTTCACTGATGAATGATAAAAGTGATCTGCTACAGTGCTACAGTTTATATTGGCAGTGAACCATATGCAAGTACTGTGGGAATTTTAATATTTGCTCCCATCTGTCTCTTTCCTAGAGAAGTCACAAAAAGGGGTTACAACGTGCTGGAACTCCCCTCACCACAACAACCTCTCAACTTTAACAACCCAACCAAAGGGAGCTCACAGAGAACTAGGAGTCCTTGAGTATTGTTTCTGCTGTATGTTCCTGCCACATAAGTCAGTAAATCTATCTGAATGTCTCAGCGGAGCAAGTGATTGTGAATTATAGGAAACTTTAGAAAAGTGTCCAGATGTTCTTTATAGATACTCCCAATAAACGTACCTGTTGATTATAATTAGCAATAGATATTTAAAGTAACGCTTTCAATTTTTGTAAGAGATGAATTCCAACATTTTTTGGCTTCCTTGTTCCTCCACTCTTGCTTGCCCTGTGTGCATGCACATCTAAGCAAAACTTAAAATTTCAGTGGGGGAGAGGGGGAAGGGCAAAAATCACCTACTTAGCAGTAATTTTCCTTCTCTGAAACATCTTGTGTTAGGTATCTCATGCCACATGATCCACTGAGATTGAACTACTACTTCTAATCTTCCTATGACTGTGGTATATGCAGACATATCCAAACCAATCATTTACTGAGTGTCAGTCATAAGGAAGATCACTACGGCACTGGGTTACGGAAGACCAGGACCACCGCTGAAGGTTTACCTCCACCTCATTGCAACTATTAGTATACAAGATAAGACAGGCTAAAGCTGCTTAAGGGATGCTACAATCTCCAATTTCTGTGTGGACCTACGCTATTTTCATAACACCAGCAGGTGGTGCTAACCATTCACATCACCCATTTTCCAGCCAACAGAAAAGAGGCTAAGAAACTGCAGTTCGGAACATACAAGAAAAAATGGCCATGTGGAATATCTATTTACTAACTCATATAAAAAAATAAAAACTATACTTTTGTCAATCTCAGATCCAAATGTGAAAGACCCACAAGACTTCTATTTCGTTTCTCCTTCACTCCATCTTGTCTTTTCTCTCCCCTCCTCCATCCCGCAAATTGGAATATGTTGAAAAGGAGACAAGAAAGATTGAAATACTTATCTGCAAAAAAAGAGTAAGGAAATCTAAAATATCTAGAAAATAGCCCTCATGCTGTGCAAGTTCTTCTACTGTGCTTGTGAATACAGCAACTATGGCCCCAGTCACACATTACGGACAACTCAGATTTGCTGTTTGTTCTCTCATCCTCTCTCCTAGGGGAGAGGTGCGTGCAGTGCTTGCTTTTGTAAGAGTGTGAAGGGGCTCAGAAGAGTTCACTGAAGTTCGCAGAACAGATTATAACACCTGGCTGCCTCTTGCAAATCAAAAACAAGTGGAGAAAGCAGTGAAAAAATGGCATTGGTTACATCCAAAGAAACCAAAGGTTCACTGTCACTAGCAGGATGCTAGCAGGGTCAAAGCACTCCGTATTTGAAAAAACAAAGGCCAGTGAAAGGAACAGAAAAAGCATTGGGGAAATGTTAGGCTATGTCACACAAGTTGAAGCCTATGTGTAGAAGGGACTCAATACCTAAAACCCTCCAGGAGGCTCAAAGGAAAGAGTAACTGGTGCCAATATAAGGGATTTCAGCTGAACAAGTGGGTTTTGTTAATTCATTTTTAATTTTTTTGTATGGTCAGATGTCAGGAAACGCCCCCGGAAAAGCCTGGGAAGTTACTAGGAGAGGATAAAGAGTTAGACAGAGATACCAACACAGGCTGGCTAACAACCTTTCTGGGGCAAACTAAGCAACAATACTTCACAAAGAGGGAACGAAGGACGAAAAGAATAGACTTCTCCCTCTATACCATAGACCCTTCTTAGTACTCTCATTTGTCAGCCTTTTGGAGACACAGACATCAGGAAAGGGAATCATCTCACTTAAAATCCATGCATAGGCTCTGATGTCTAGGCTCTTTCCATACTGAAAAGAAAAAATGAGTACCTCCAGAGCAGATACATTTATCCCCATTTGCTATCTCCCTTGGGAGTAACTAGAAAGCCTACCTGGTTAGATTAGACAGACAACTTTAAAAGACCAAAATCTGGCAAGATGAAACCCATTCTATCCTAACCTATAGTTCACGCTAGCTAACATAGAAAGGCAGATGAAGAACCCTGGATTTTTTCTGGAATATGGCAGATTCTTGAGTTAATTCTGTATAAAAGCAGGCTGCTACATTGCTGCTACTAGATTCAATCACTGTTGGCATGTTTCATTTTAATTTGGAGCATGGAGTCACTACAGACAACCGTTCAGAAATCCTGAAAAGCTCACTCTGATGCTGAACTGCCACACCAGACAGTTTAAAAATTGGTAGGCCACACGTCTGTATCATAGCTTAGTTGAGTTACAAGCAAAAATCTCTCTGATTTCACTTAAGCCAATAACACAGTCAAGTTTTTCTCCCCAGTATGTTGTTCCTGCAGATGCTTGATTTTCAGAGATCCTCTTTCCAACCAGAGGAACTACAAAGAATAGAAGGAAAAAAAGAATTAAAACTTTATATGACAGCGTATGCCTACACAGAGAGAAAAGATAGTCTTAGAGAAACCTTCTTATATTTTAAACAGGAATGGAGCCATTGACTGAACTACTTCTGAAAAGTTGCATCTATTTTTAAAGACAACATCTGAACGTTTGGAAGACGAGAAGTGTTCCAGTCAGGGTTCCTAGAAGAAAGAAAGAAAGGCTTCTTACACAAGTGAATTGGACTCTTTCAGCATGCAACTTGTGAATATTCATGAATGATTTGTGTCCTTTCATGCTGATGAGATTCTAGTACAAAATTGGACATAACTATATGAGTTAATCAGCCCAAAACCTATGGAGTCAGGCTTTTAAAGCCACTCAAACTCTTCTGTAACAGTTCTCAGAAAGCACTCCTAAAGAAATAGTCACTCATGGAAATCTTTTTGGTTTATATAAAGGTGTTTTCACTTTTGTATCTATGACTAGACTTTTCTCTAGATTCACACAGGTAATGAAAACCAAACGTTATATGCTGTCATATGCTACACTAAGATCTACTGGCAACCTAGTTTTCTATGTTGTTAACTGCCATTTCTGTTTTTATTGTTTTTCCCAAAACAAGCAATCGGAGCCTCCCAAAGATGCTAATGTGACGGTTGCGAGATCAAACACCTGGACTGCGGAAAAAAACCTAGACTACTTTCACTGGCTTCATTTTGTGAGGAGCTGGTGAGAGTTAAGATTTTAATGCAGGCTACTATAGCTCTTTGAGTATTCACTGGTTCAGCTATTTGCTTCTCCATGAATGGTGTTAGTCCCTGATGAAACAGCAGAGGAAACTGCTAGTTTCCCACTGCTCTCCTCCACATTTGCCTGCAAATCTTGCTTGGCAATTACCAGTGCCTCTGCTGGCTGCTTCACTCATTACACAGTCCTCTAACATGCATCTAGGTACTTTTAAGAAAAGATTTAATTAATTTATTTATTTATTTATAAAAGAGTCCAAAGTAAATGTAAGCACAACTAGTCAATTTTAAACAGGAAACTTCCTATTAACACATGAATAGCTGTTTTGCAAAGAAAATAAAAGGAAAAATACAATTATCTTACCAAAGATTATCAGTATTGTAATACAAATAGAGATTTTAGTTTTGTTTTCTTCAGAAATAAGGCACAGCTAAAGAATTTTCCTGATCCTCCGAAATATCAGGTCTTCAGTCAAGCCTACAGTGCTTTCATACTACTACTTTCAGGGCTGACACACTCCATTTGGAGTCCATTTTGATAAAAACCATACAAAGTTTGTCTATTGAGTTAAGATCCAGTGCTATCATTTTTCTGTGTAACTAAATGTCAGCAAGGAATAGAATCTAAAATTGGTCAGTAACTATGGCAACTAATGAGCCATTCTAGCTTGGAGTCTCCAAATCAAACATGTGACCATCAAGGGATTCATTCCAATTTTAAGATGTTGCTTTTCCGAGAAGAAAATACACCGCTTCTTTTGCTGACATGCACGTCTGTGGTGTCAGCCTACAGTCATGCTGGAGGGCTGGAGCAGTTTCAGACAAATAACTAAGAGAAAAACAGCATCTTAAACCGGAAGGACAAATGGCCAACATATTGATTGATGCTACTCACTCAGGATAATGATAAAGTATTGGGAAAAAAAAAATCAGAGGTGACAACAGTGTTTGAAACTGCAGCACTGAGGAACAAGACGTAAGCTCAATGATAAAACTTATAGGTACCTTGATTTTTGTTTTTTTAATTTCAACTTTAGCTTTTAAACTTATAAGCTTTTAGGATCATGTAACTCAGAAGAATCACTTTAGGGTACACTCATGTTCCCATGATAAGGTTAAGTCAAAAACGCATGCGTACAAGAATAAACACAAGGACAGCTCTAAAATTCTGGTAGGTGGGAAGCCCAATTTATTTCCCATGACAGTGGCTCCCTTCTTAGAAGTAGTCCTAAAAAGGTTCTGCCAGGAATCTCTCTTAAACACATCTTACAAAGACATGCTTACATGTCAATCTCCATCTCTTTACCAGGAGACAGGTATTACTTTACTTCCTATTTGTTCCTGGAAACTACCATGTGTCTCTTTGTAGACCCACGGAAGTGGAGTGAAGGAAGCTCCTCTTGAAGTAGCTGAAGTCTACTAGAAGGAAGGCTCTGCAGAAAAGGTGTTTCATACACGGGTCCCTTCACAGTCTGAATAATCAAACAGCAACATCCTATCTTTTACATATTTTGTATATATGCTGTACTATTACTTTTTTTTAAACGGGTAAATTCTGTTCTTCTTTCTGCCATAAGAGCTCAGGATCTTGATATTGGCCGGTAGTAGGAACAAATGAGAAGAATCCATAGCATGAAAGGAGTATATTGGAGACATTTTCCTTATGGCACTAGAACTAGAAATGATTTAGCTTCTTTGCTGCTCCTAAAAAGGAGCACCTTGGCCAATTTTTTTTTTAAATAACATTGCTATTCAAGCTTTCAGCAGAAGAAAAAAGAAAAGGTCAAATAAATGAGTAAAGCCCAGATTAGAAGAGAGGATGTTAGGCATTAGTCAAATTTTTAGCAAGAAATTGGAAGTTACTACCAATTTTCTTTGAAGATTTAAAACCTATACATTAAAAAAAGAAAAAAATACCTTCACTAAAATATTGTGCCTACATGTGTAAAGATTTCCTCAAAGTTCTTTTGAATATTGGCTTTCTTGAGTAGGAAAAAATAACATAGCATAAAAATACAAGTTTTAACACTGGAACCATAATTGTCTTTACCTTCTAAATGAGACATATTTGAAACTGTGAAAAAATAATTCTAACTCTTAAAAATTAGAGCAATGAAAGATTTTTATCCTGATTATGAAAGAAAAAGTCCTCACTGAGAAAGATCAAACAGAAATTCACATCTTTGTCTGAAGAAAACAGTAGAGGTAATAAACACATAACAGAAGGAAACGAGCAACTTTTTGTGTGCATTTGTAAATGAGCGTAAGTCTGATTTAAAAACACAACACTGCAGTAAATCTGTGGAAAGAACAGAGGGCTTTAAAAAACACAGTATGATTTTGCTGTACAGAACAAAGTCTGTCTACAGCACTACGTACCTGTCTCCACATGGTACTCGATTTTTGTTAAAGCAGTCAGGCCTTTGCATGACACTTTAGTATTAGATATAATGATCACCAAGAGACGACATGATGTTATACCAAGACTGCCATCAGAATGCTCCACAGAGGTTACACAGGTGATTTATTGGAGAAAGAGGAAGAGACCTACACTAAGATTTTCTACTTATCTGAATCTTCCCTTACAAACTATAGTATTTTTAACAAAGAATTAAAGACTTTTGTTTATAACAGAATCTGATGAGGCCACATACAGCTTAATTCCCTTTAAACAGAAACAGAAATAGCCTTCTGGTTCAATCAGAGTGTTTCCTATTTGTAAGGAAAATCTGGCCAAGGAAGCAAAGTTCTAACTCAGGAGAAATAAGCAGAGAGACAGACAACAGAAAAGCAACAAAGAAAGAGAAGAAAATTGCTCTCTCATCAGATGTTCCTGAACATCCCAAGTCACAAGGTCACCATCACCAACAAAGGATTTCTAAGCAACATTCAGCGCAACATCCTATGTGCAGCAGGAAAAGCTATCAGTAGCAGCATTAGTAATAAAAGGCATGAGAAGGAGGATAAGAGAGGAAAGTTAAAGCTCTATAAATCTCACACCTTTTCAAATCATTTTTTACCTAATTAAGTCATCCTCATCAGATCTGGGCCAGCTCAGCAACAGCAGTAATGGAAATTAATATCCTAGGGCTCTATACAGAAAAAAACGTAAACCCAGTCCACCCACTAAGCAGCATCATGTCTTCATTACTTTACAGCTTTTAAAAAAAAAAAAAAAATTGCTAAGGCCCACACACAAAGAGTAAACATCATACTGTGAGACTGAGGAATAGTTATACCAGTAGAGGGAAAAGGCAGCTATGAATAAGAAATGCCTGAAAGACTGTTAAAGGCATAGGAAGATGATTTCAACATAGCTAGTGCCTGTCTGGGTACCGCTATAAGAGAGATTGCAAGCAGCTTTCATCAGGAAACACTTCTCACCATTTCTTTTTCTTCCTTCATCTTTTGTCACTTTTTGCTGTGCCATTACTTTCTGCGGGGAGCTTCGGCCTGAGCTAGGCTTTCCCGATTCAGTGGTGATGACGGAGCCGTTCTGGCTAGGCGACCTGCTGCAAGTAACCATGGCAACAAGAGAGACGGTAAGTTCTTCTCTATAAACCTCATTTCAAGGTTATTTCACTTGCACCGTTTGCATCACTGAGTTTTCAAGTCTGATTTTACACCAAAAGGAGACAAAAAATAAACTGCACAACAGAAACACAGTAAAAGCAGGAATAGAGCGACAGTAGGCAAACATTTCTTTTCAAATGGTTCAGAGCTGATAGGCATCTTGGTGACATTGAAACCCCTTGCTTCTCCTATACAACCCCCACAACAGAAGCATTGCAAAGGGTGAAAAAAAATTTAATTCGGTGTCATTTATACAGCTAAAATAAAGCAGACCTTTGGTTTTTTAAATAGGGCTACACTAATTTCAAGTGTTTTCCTCAATTGTTTAGCTTGCATTTACACTCAACTATTTTGTCAGCCATAATGCAAAATTCGCTACATACACACGCTCATTGTGATAGAAAAACCTCCTTTTTTCCTCTTTGCGTATAACACAGTTTAGCCAGTGCCATTATTTGCTGAAACGCCTAAGAAAATACTTTTTTTACTCAGCCACTGTCCATCCAGTTTGTTGCACGGAAACTGATCCCTCCCCAAGGTGGGAAGGGAGGTCAGAGCAGAAATGCTGCAAGTGCTCAGGCTCAGTGAGGCATCCTCCCTAGGAAGGGCAAGAACAAGCAGCATAACTAGGCTGCTTTGGGAGAAAGCTCTCAGAAGTCCATTCCTTTTTTGGAAGGTAGGTTATTCTATCCTAGTGTACAAGCTGGGAAAAGCAGGCCAAAGTAGAAAATATTAAATTTTGTGCTACTCCACATCAAGACATCGTACCACATTGTTCCTAGACATGAAACTGGTCACAACAGGACTGAAAAAAACTGACATGATCTGTATAGTTATGCATGCACCTATCTGAAATTACTCATTCTGAAGTGTCACGGTCAATGAAAGGATCATGTAAAAAAAAAAAAAAACTAATTCTGAGAAAAAAATATATTTAGTCACAACTACTTTCAGAAGTATTCATTTACAGAAAGAAATCGAATCAACTTCTATTGCTGTCACAACTGGCTTTATATTCAGAAAATGGTACTACAGCAAAATTACTGTAACAATCCTCCTGTAAATTATCGCCCATACTATTGCTAGCCTGAAACATTTGAAGTACTTCCAGTTAAGACTGTCTTGTCTGAACATTTACTGTGGTCAGAACAGGGAGGGACAACTGAGGGAGAGCGATTTTTACAGACTTTCTTTTGAAAACACACTGGGTGTATGTATAAATACACACACACATACATACATACATATATACGATTTGACACAGGCTCTTTCAAACTACAGGGCCTTAAGAGAACTCAGCATGCTCAGCTTGGCCTATTTTCTGTGAAATTCCATTGAGAATTAATACTCTTGAAAAGCAGCACTCCTCTACAAACCCTTCTATTGCTGCTAATGAGTAATCCCAGGCCAGTAAATAAATTTGTCCACAGACAGATGAACACCTGAAGAAAATCTGCTCCACTTAGGAACAGGGAAAAGAAACAAGTATGGAGAGTTCACAGAATGATTTCTGCTGCCACTAATCTAAATACTCATCTTTTTAAAGTGACCATCGCATCTATTAACTGTGACGTTTCCTTCAGGAATAATATCAGAGGAGATATCCTGATTAGATACCAGCTACTTCATGGCAGTATGATTTAAATTGACCTTTTCAGGCGGCAAAATAGCCTGGATGAAACAGCAAATACGAAAAGGTCATGACATGTCTCTTCATCTTCCCAATCCATCACTTTCTATTCCCCAGCCACACCTCATGGGAATCCCAAAAGAACAAAATTCTGTTTGTTCGCGCTCACTCAAGTAGTCACTCTGAAGCACGAACAATTGTGGGCTTTAAAAGGACCCATTTAGAAACCTTTTGCTCAAAAAGGCACTGCAGAAGCTTCACAGGTTCAACACATTTTATAATGAGAATAATTTTCCTGTGAACTCCTGAATCAAGTTTGTTAATCAACATTTTTTTTTAAGAATGTGCAGATTAAGTACAGGGCAATTTATGCATGCATCCAGAGAAGCGAGTGAAGTGTTTAATCACTTTTGTTAGAGGATTAATAGGCTGATTTACATTTTCTGTGTATATTTACACATGGCTTTGGAAAGGCTTCTAAACATTTTAAAGAACAGCTCCCTCAAAGACCTACCCTGCAGTAACACAGCACCAGCACCTACAGTCGGTGTAAGAGTAATATTCCATTGGTCATTTTATCAGATAATGGAAGATTTCGAAAGGGACAAGTACCCTTTAGTTTATATGGACTATATAACCTAACCCTCATGCTTTGAGGGCATGTGTGATCCTAGAGCGATGCAGGCTGTCAGTGGAGCTATGTCAACGTACAGCGGCTGAAGTCCTGTCTTTCAGCGCATCTCAGAAATGATCTATGCTTATGCTTAGCATCCAATGTTTAGTTCAGACTCATCTCTTGCACAACGCCAGCATGCACATAAGACCCACTTCCAATTGATCTCCTTTATGCACACACAAACTGCAAAGACTTTGCTATATTTTATCCTACATTTTTCAGCAATCTTACACATCCAGTGCAGATCAACATTATGCCAAGAACGTTTGTGGAGGGACCATATGCCACATACACAGCCTGGGTGTCAAAACACTTGTAGTTTTTTCATAAGCAACCAGCAGCATGCACCCCATTCCATCCCTCTGCTGAAATGCCTCATTCCATACCTTTTCCTTGTTTCATTGGATTTGGCAGTTTTAATGGTGCTCCCATCCTGAGTGATTTCTCTCTCCTGGGAGGCAGGAGCATCTCTAACTGGAAGTGGAAGTATCACAGTCTCTTGAGTTACAGGTAAAACCTCATCTTCAGCTCCCTGCTGACCTAAATGTTGTTTGGCATAGTCAAAGCCTTGCACCGGCTGCAAAAAAAGTGGGAGAAAAAAAATTTCCAACATGCACCATATGTTAATACAGAATTTCCATTACTACCTCTTAGCTTCTTTAATCACATAAGCTACAGATAAAAAGCTGTAATAAGAATACTCAGCAATAAAGCAATGGTCTGATGAGATCTCCATTCTACATATTTTAAATATGATTAATTAGTATAAAATTGATCTTGGCTAACCTTTCTTCCTTGCCTTAAAACTCCCAGAAATTCCTTTCAGAGACAACAGAAAATTGAATATAAAAAAAAAAAAAATTATGAAGGAGAAAGATAAGGTCATACAGAGAATGGAAATCTTTCTCTATGAAAAAAACCTTTTGTTTCCATAGAGGATGGGATTAATTTATTCCAAATCAAGACAAAGTAAAAAAGGAACAAACACAAATTTCATGGGAAGAGTTTCCCAGGAAAGGGGGGGGGTCACTTTTAGAAGAGTGAAATTACATTACTCCTGCTTAGTCAGTTGCCCTCTGGGAAGGTTCCTATCGATTTCCAATGCTTCTCTTGGGGAGTGGCATTAACCCGAGCCCTGCAGCAAGGCTGGTGGAGGCTACGCACCCAGTGCCTCCTACCCCAAAGCCCAGCTGTAGTTCCCCAGCTGCCTCTATAGTGAAAAAGCAAAAATGACAAATGCGTTCTAGGCACCCCAGCCACTAAACAGTGGATACTCCTTATGAAAACATTAAGTCATTTAAGCAAAACTTAACTTTCCAAACTGCCTTTATTGTCCAAAAAAAAAAAAAAAAAAACACGTAAAGAAATTCCTGACCACCTCTGGAAAAAACACGTAACATAAAAATGTAGAAGAGTTCTTGCTTCGCTAAATCCAATTAATTTCCAAAAACATGAAAGGGATGAAAGGGTGTTCTTCCTGAACTACAGACTATTGACAAAATGCTAAAAATCATCATAAAACACATCAAAACGTGAGCAACGGTGATTTTAACTCTCAGATTCATGCCAGAAAATCATTTCCAGAAACACATCAAAATTAGACACCTAATAATTGAACACTGTCTTTCAGGTTCCTGTCATGTTATTGAATATTTTAGTTCTGGAAAAAATTTAGCCAGATAAAAATTTTGCTGATGCCACAGAAAAAAGATGGGCTCTGAAAAAAAAAAAAACTTTCTCTTGTTCTGTCCCTTAAATAAATAAATCTGGGCTATAACTATAAATAGTTACACTTCATAGGCAATCTCAGTCTGAAAAATTTGGGGACGTCTTTTATTTTTTAAAAAACGCGTTCTACATGTGTTTTACATCACATTCCCAGTCTCCTGTTTAAACAGAGGCTGATGATTTCTAATGAGCTGAAGTACTTCAGTATTCATCCGATAAGTCACTCTAATGCATCAAGGAAACGCTAACTGGACTAATGCTGATGTGGAACAGCAGACGTCTCCACATATTACAAGGATGGAACTTTTCACATTTTGGAGAAATGTCAGCTCACCACCACCAGCCCATGGTAAACCCTGCTGATATCTCCCCCAACGGTAGCCTTCTGCTTGCTCTCCATTCTGAGGGCAGCCCCCAATTTAGCTACAAAGGGAGGAAATGAAGAAAGGGGAAGAGAAGCTCTGTGAAGGGCACCTAGGAAGAGCTCTCCTGCATGCCATCCTCGACGCTAATATTTCTAGCCAAAATGTTTTTAAACATTACATCTATATTAATCGTTAGTCAAGATCATCCTAGTTATTCTAGGTGTCAAAACAGAAAAGCTGATTAAAGGCACGTATTTCTCCTTCTATCCCTTAAAAACTGTAGAGTAAGTTACAACATATATTTTCTATCTTATTTAAAAGAATAAAACAAAATAGAAGCAAAATTCCACAAGCATAAGAACATGAGAACTCTCATAGAACTCTACAGAGTTGCAGCTCTGACCTGCCAAAACAACCAAATAAAGCATTTTTTAAAATCTCAGTTCTACTTACCACCATGTCTAGTAATAAAATGCATTAAACGAAGAGCTGAAAAAGCCATCCTCATCAGCAGGCAGGCTGTATTAAATAAAATTTGATCTTGGAACTCTGCTCAGTAAAAGGCCACAGGACCATCTGGTGGCTTTACCACCCTAAAGGAAACTGGCAAGGCTAAACCATGATCAGGCACTGCTAGAAGACACTCCGCTGTAAAGACAGGTGCCCAGTACAACCACAAAACTGAGAAAGACAGAATTGGTGGGATCTAATATTGCTTTTGAAATTATAAATGGATGATTGGACCATTAAATTACATTGCCAGGAAAAGGGCAGAATGAATACAGGGAGTTGTTTCTATGACTTTTTTCCTTGTAACAACGATGAAATAGACATCGATATTAAAAGAAAAGAAAAAAAAGAAAGGATGATCAGTCCCTTTCTCTCTCTATATATACCCATGCACATACAGTTCCTCTGGTCTTTTTTTTTTTTTTTCCCTAGTGTCCTTTATCAAATTGATAGCAGTTGTTTTCTCATGGCATGCTGTATTTGCTTTTGCTGGAGGGACTTAGACTGCAGACCTTATCTCTGTTTACCTGCAAGCTTATTCTCTCATGTTCTAAAGGAAAGGAAAGGTGACAAAAACAGTTTATAGCCTTTTAAAAAGCATGCTGTGAATAAGAAAGCAACAGAGAGAAAAACTAACATCTACCCAAAACCTCAAAGTAAAACAGCATCTCACAGTAAAAACACTGTTGAAAGAACATTAAAATAAATTCCTATCAGAATTTGACCTAGTTGAATTTACACTTCTTTCAATTTTAGAACTGGTGAGTCAGCTGAAAAAACAGTGATAGCGCCTGTTCCCCTCACCATAGCACAGATGTTACTGACTGCTAAATCAATTCAGAATGGCAACAGAACGTAACACAGTTCCTATGAAGGATACTACGTTATTCAGGAGAGGTCATTTTTTAAACTTTATTTATTTAGCCTTCAGTCTCTTTTAACAGAGAAGTCACTCCTACATTACCAGGCACAGGCAGCAATCCTGCTGTTACATCATATTGCTCATCTACAGAACAGTATTTAATGCTAAACATTCCATTACCCCTCTACGCTGTGCTCATGCATCTAATCCCACTGAGAGAGGAGGCTTCCCGCGGTGATGTGGCAGGCAGCTCTCCCCTGCGAAGAACTGCAGTGGCCCTCTGCTCACAGCAGCAACAGGACTGCAGCAACGAACAGGCAGCTCCGCTCTGCTGGTTCCCTTGACACGAGACTTTTGAAGTCACAGCACATAAAATGGCACCACTAAAAACAAAGACAGCTGAAGTCCACAGGTGTGTCCCCCATAATGTTTTCTTTGCCTTTCTATACAGTATATTGGATATTCAAAAGATAGCAGAAAACTACTCTAATAACTCAACAGCAAATCCTGTTTCTTAAACTAAAAATCATTCTGCTGTAACTCCATTTACAGAATAGATTCAGCGTTAATCAAGCAGTTTCAGGCACTTTTCTAAGCAATGAAATATAATATATCCGTTTTAAATGTGATGTAAATATGTCCTCATCAGCTATTTGTATTGCCAAATGCAATGCATGAAATGTAGCAATTACAGTTCAAGTCATTACTGCTATTCCGGATACCACTAATGTTGGAACTAAAAATAAGAATAAAACTGTTCTTTTCAAAATGACCGCACTTCATTAACTTCCCAAAATACATTTCTTGGCATTATTTTAAGTAAAGATACTGAAATCAGGAATGGCAGAACCAGTCCATTCCCATCCTGCTGCAAAATTTATCTTCCAAAGTCTGTAAAGAAGTATATACCTTAAACTAGAGCTGGTTGAACCTTTTTGATGGAACCATCCCTGCAAAACTAAACTGTAACCAATTTAGCTTTCATTTTTAAAATGTATCACATTCTATATAATAAATTAAATAATATTTTATGAATTCTAAAAAATGATCTGAAGGTGCATCTATATTAGCATTTTAGTCTGGATCAGCAGTGCACTTTTCAAGCGAATCTCCAAACTACCTCCACTGATCACACTTTGGTTAACGTAATACAGTGATCCCAGCGCTCATGGCTTTCCTTCCCAATGAAATTAAAAGACAAAATGTGCTCCAGAAGCACACCTACAGAACTCCAGTTGCTAACGGGCATTCAGTCCCTGAAACCAGAGTAGTGCAAGTCTGCAGCGAAATATCCTGAAATGAGTACAGAGTGGACGTTAGGATCTCAACATCAATTGTTTTGTTCTACAGATCCAACTTCTACCTGACCACATTGCTTGCCAACATAAACATAGTCCAACTGAACAGGTTTTAGCCTGACCACATATATTATAGACTGATTAAATCTGGTTCTCAGGAAAAGTCAAAATTTGACTTTCCACTTTCTTTTTGGAATGAAAACAACTGTGGCATGCTGAAAGACATTCAAGTTCTTTCTCTGTTGTAGCTTCAATCAGCAGCCGTATCTTAAATTGCATCTTTTTTTCAGGTAAAAAGTACTCGGTAATGATTGCCAGCTCAAAACAATGTACAAATTTAGTCCCACTTAGTCCTCCAGCTGGGACTAAAATGGCATATAAGAACAACTGAGTGGTGCATGGTATTTGCAGTGGTCCCTAGTAGAGGATGATTTGTATTTTAGAGGCTTCAAAGACACGTTATTTAATATCATTGCAGCGGTATTAATTTTTGTTTGTGTTTGTGATAGTGCTTGTTTCACTTTTTCCAATCTAATCTTAATACCACTTTGATAACACAGGATAAATGGATCAGCATACTGGAACTGCAGTGGAATTGCCTTTTTTGTATTATTTTTGATCAATTGATACAAATGTCTGTTTTCAACTGGCAGCAGCTACACCCACCCATCTACTACTAACCTAAGATGAGGAGGAAAGAGCTGTGATAAGAATTATGCCTTCCCTCGACTCTCCCTCCCATCTGTACTTTTCAGTGCAAGCAACAGAACTGAAATCACAAGAATCCTGCTGTTTACAGCAATAAGAAACCAAAGAAAAATTCTACCATTTTAACCCCATGCCAATAGAAGAGAGCAATCCAATCAGAAGGAGGAAGGAACAGTATGATTTACGCATATATGCTTTGTAGGCTAAAAACTCCTAATTTTGGTTTTCCCAGTCTAAGAGCTATTTAATAGCAATATAGCCCATTTATTGAGAAGGCAGATTTTTTCATTACGGAGACAAGTAATATTTTAGAATATTTTTCCGTTAGAGAGAGAGAATCAAATGGAGAGGCATGTGATTTGAAAAAATTCTTATAGTTGATATGGGCTAGTAAGTTTAAAGAAAATATGATTGATTGAGCACAACAATATTCACTAGTGAGTTAGAAAGTTCAAAACATCTAAAAGGGAAAATTTTTCTAAAAAATTCAAAGCATGTTTTTCATGAATTACCAACAGGATGGGATACTTCTCATTAGAACTTGGCCTGGACTACTTCTGAAACACAGAATTTCACCTATTGTCACATGCAGTATGCAGGAGAAGCTCAGGCTATGGAATTATGAATGAGGTCCTAAGGCAGAAATGCTATTGAAAAAAGACATAGGCGTGATATTCCATTTCCTCATTTGCATCTCAACTTCACGAAGGAAGCAAACGTCCTGAATAAAGCATACTTAGGTTTAATGGCCTTACACCACTGCCTAACATATATTCTGTATAATAAATCACAAGCTTTGAAGGAATTTGAGGAGTCCTGAGTAAAACAGAAGGGTAATTACTGTGACAAGAGGTATCAAGGATACAGCAGAACAAACATCCAACCTGTGAGTAACGACCATCTGAACTCCAAATGTTCTTCAAATATATTTAGCAAAGAACCTGTAGAATTAAAACTTCAGAAAACAAATGAATGTCTTGACCTGCAAATCAGTCACTCACTTTAGCTCTCTGAGGCAGATTCATCATGGTATCTGGTTTGAAGTCATTCTTGTTTTTTCTGCACAGAACTGCTGTAATGATGATAATGATAACCGTAACCACAGCAATGGGAGCCAGCACTGCAGCAATGATCCACAGGTTGTTTGGTGGATTTTTCACAACAGCTACAGAAAATTGCAGAACAATATGAGTATTCTTTCTTTTACTGTGTAAGCAAGATGTGTTCCAATTGCTTCCAATACAGCCTTCAACTGCTTCCACGTAACAATTAGTATAAAAGGATCATTTTTAATTCAGCACTATCTTTGAATTTAAGTTAAAAAAAAAAAAAAAGAAATCTTACACTGCTCAATTCACAAATCCCTTGAGCTCTCTTCTCTCAGTTATCGCCAACTGCAAAAGCAGCCATCAACTCCCAAGCCTTGACATTAGATACCACGTTAGATATCACTTAAATGGCTCTTCTACAGAATAAGCAAAGAAAGGTGCAAGTAATGTGTCCTTACTTATCTTTCAAAAGGAAAAAGAGTCTATAATGAGGTAGTACGTGAGTTAAAAGTACATACAGAGTCCATACCTGGTGTCACAGAATTACTAGCTCAGCTAGGGCAAACTGGCCCAACTCTTAGAGACAATGAAGCTGAGCACATTAGCAGTTATTATTGACATCAATGGGAGGATGAGAAAATGCTTCTCTTGTCCTCTAGAAATGCTCTGTCTTAGTTAAGGTCAAAATCAAGTCCATCATTTCTGGAGGAGGGGAAATGACAAGACTGGAAAGAGCTATTTACAGATATATTAAAAATGGCACCAGGAAAAAGGTACGTTTCAGAAATGCAGTGGTGCTAAAACATTTTAGATTCCATTTTATCAGAACAAAGACTCTTATTATGCATCTTCAATTTGTACACACGTAAGAGAATTTCCTGTAACACAAATACAGTTCTCTCACTTTGTTTCTTTCATGAAAAGCAACAGATAATCACATTACAATTCTGTATTTTGTTTTAATGAAATATTTTGTTGAGCTCACCATGCTTTCTCTATTTATTTTCCTAAGCTAGTGGTTGCTGGCATGGGTAGGTAATTGTGAAAATACCAACGTAAAACAGTCTTTCCATTTCCTAGGGGACTACTGCTTTCAAATGTCATTAAGCTTATTAGCTGTCAAAGGCACTTAGCATCTTTCAGGATCAGACTTCCAACGCATACCATCTTGTTCAGCAGTATTTATGGAAGCTAGCTGAAGGTCTGTTTGAAGCTCGAGTCAATTTTCTTTGTATATTGACAACTTCTTGCAAAGACAGTGTAATTTGTTGGTCTATGTAGGAATAGCACTATTAGGTACATATATTGTACACAGCCTAACAGTAACTGTATGCTTTGTGATTCTCTGAAAAGCCAAGATAAAGTCTAGGTTTAACTAACTGTTTAAGGTTCACTTTTCAATGAACTTGTATAATTTTAAATTATTGACTTTGAACATACAGTTTGGAAGAGAAAGGGCTGTCTTTTCTTGGGGGAAGGAAAGAATTTTATCAGACAAGGTTAATTCTAATTACAGATTGTTGTTGTGTGAACAGCAAATAACTGTTGAAAAAATATTTTTATTATTATCTCTAGAGAATGTAGATGAAAGGATGACCTTATGGCTAATAGGACAGATGCTTAGGAATCCCAGTTTAAAATTTTAACTCAGACACCAATTTCCAGTGTGACCTTGAATAAGTCAAATCCATGGTTCATTTAGAGCAACAGGACTTCAGTGGGTTTTCAAGAAAGCCTTTCATTTTGCTCAGTCTCTCACCTATGAAACAGGAACATCAATATTTTTCTTTGTTATTCATCTGTATGTCTAACCCAACAATAAGCTCCTGAGAGTAGGAGTCTTTTCTTACTGTGTTTGGTGCAGAACTTTTCATTCTGCTGTAAGAGAAAATACAACAAGCAAAAATGAAGTGTGCATAAGATATTCTCTCTTTGTATTCTCCAGGAATATATAAATACTGTGTTCAAAATGAAACAGATTGATTTTTTTCCGTAATAAAGTATAAAGGTAACTGTCTCCTGCATTTCAAATATTACAGTCTGAGAATCTCAGCTACCTAAGATAATCATTTCTCTTTCTGTATGTTTTCTTCTCGTGTGATCAGAGACTCCCACACCTATACTTTTGTTTTCACAGAGGAAGAAAAGACTAAAATAGAAAAATTTTAAAAGGATTCTTACGATCAGCTTGAACTTGAATAACGTAACCTAATGTCAAGGCCATCCGCTGTGAGTCAATGGTACTCAAAATCTTGGCAGCTGCAGTACCCAGTAAAGGTTTCCCATTGTATAAAGTATAGTATGTCAGTTCAGCCGGCTCTTTGGGTCCTGGAATACGCTGGATTTTTACCATCTTTCAGAAAAAAAAAAAAAAAGGAGAGAAAGAGGAGTAAACTGTCTTTGTATTATACCACTGCAGTTGATCAAAACCTGCAAGAAGCTACTTGAAGGCAATACACAAACAGAACTCCGTAAAGTCCATCAGATCCCATATAAGCATAAGCTCCATGCAGATATTCTCATAGGATCTTCTCCTCACTGCCTAGTCCACTAAGATTAGCAAGCACTGACTGCCTTCATAAAAATCTTAAAACATAATCCCAATGTAAAATCCTATACTAGGAAAAGCATGCAGTACAAAGGAGGAAAGCATGATATGCTTGGACAACACAGTTCTCTGTAAAGGGAGGATTTTTAAAATCCGTCCTTATGTGGAAAGCTACGCTTTACTGGCACATTGCAATTGAAAATTTCCCCTCACGTTTTCCTTCTATACCCACCACTTGCAATGCTAGACTATTAATAAAAAGATCCATGCTCTTCTGATTTTATTCTGCAGAACACCAGAAGAATTTTTGAATTTTACCTCTAACTTTTCTTGAGGCTGGAGGAAGTGTCAAACACTTCTAATGATGAGAGGGGAAAAAAGGGTTTTGTCATTTTTCTCCACTATGTTATGGACTAAAATATGTCCTCTTTTTGTGGCAAATTTTACAAAGGTTAATATTTTCTGCAAATAAAATTGTGTACCTTCATTTTTAAATTCTTTCAGCTTCAGAATGCACAGAATTGGGGGCAAACTAGAAGAATAATAATTTGGTTTTATATCTCACAATAAGCAAGTCTTGAAAAACAACATGAAACTGAAGGAAAGCAGCAGTAACCTTAAACACAGTTTTTGAGAACAGACCCAGTTTTAACCCTCACAACCAGAAACAGTTGGCTAAATTAGTGAGAAAAAATTAAGATCCTTTCAAAAGACTTGGAGATGTTGCTAAATAAAAGAAAGAGAAGGCATTTCTGTGGCCATATGATCTGAAGACTAACACTGTATAAAGACTGCTTCATACCGTATTTCAACAAAAAGCATAAAAAGAGTTCTAGCTTTTATTGAGTCACCTCTACAGCAGAAGAGTTAAGAATTTTTTTCTTCCATTTTTAAGAACAAAAACTGAAACTCTTAATTATGCTGAATATGAGACTGTTTACACTAAAGTACTCCGTATCAATCTTCATAGCAAGCCAAAAGAAAATACTTATTAACACTGATTAGCCAATGACAACTTCCAAAAGATGAGAGGCATAAAAACATGGCTAACTTTAGGAAAAAACTCATTAGTAATGACACGTATATTGCACTCACTGCTGTGGTATTCATGAAAAAGGACAGGAAATCTCAACCCAGTTAAACATTTTCACACAAATTCAGGTAGTATGTATGCAAACAAAGCCTTTTTCAAAATGTATCTAGATGCAATTTATGTCCTAATGACCACCTGCACAGTGTAGCTGCCCACAGTAGTGGCACGTTTAAATCGTCTTCCTTGTTGATGGGACATCATAAATAGTGGGGCCAAACGCTGCTCCATTAATCTTGCAAAGCTCTGATTGTTCAGTCCCAGTAATGTCATATCTACCCCTTGTATAACTGTGAAAATGGAGAAAACAACATATCAGCACATCTTACATGGATGGATTAAACAACACATGATTTTCAGGGGTATTTGTGACAATAAGGTACTAGCTAGCTTAGAAGTTAAATAACTGGACACTGTTTCACATCCTCAGTAATTCCCTATGGAAGTATAATGTGCTTGTGGGTCAATCACTGCACTGTTCTCTCAGATAATCTATGAATGATGTTTCTACATCCAAAGAATAAAAAGCTCCAATATTCTTGGTCCTCTAGTTTACCAAAATGGCTTTGAGAAGCCCCTAATCTATGATCTTCAATGTAAAATAAAAGTAAGCCCTCAAGTGAAAACTTATTTGAGAGCTGTCTGTTTTTATGTTAATCACAGGAATAGTTAGATGCCTCTGTTAAGTAAAAGTTTTTCATTCAGCAGATTGGAAATCTGAAGTTAGAATTTTGTAGAGATCAGTTTGAAATAAAATATTTTATGTCCGAGAGCACTGAACACTGCTAAAATTATTTCTGAAGAGACATTTCCTAAGTGTGAATGAATGGAAAAATCAAAGATATTGAATTTAAATAAAGTACAAATAAGTGAAATAGCATGCCAATTTAACTCATACAAATGTATGATTTTTTTTGGTATTACTTAAAAATTCTTTTGAGACCATACTGATTTTTTTTTGAAAACAGTGTCCATTGTAACATCAACAATATTCCATTACAGTGCATGTACACAGGCAAGAAATGGAATATCAGGTTGGTGGGATGCAAATGGGAAGGAATCTTATCATTTCCTTCAGAGGATGATAATCTCCATATAAATTTATTTTTAATCTCAAAAATATAAATAGATACAACAGGTACCAAATCACACCGGATACTGCAAACAAACTAAGAAATTTGATCCATTTCAGGCTCCATTTCACGTCAGGCTCCTTTTCTTTTGCTCTCCTCGGCATTAAACAATTTCAACTGTAGACACATTAATTAGAGAGACTTTGATATCTACAGACTCAAAGATGGGGAAAAGGGTCTCATTTTTGCCCATTTATCACTTCTAAAGTCAAAATAATTGTGAATGGGAATGTGATACCAGCAAAATGATTTTGCCAAAACAAGTATTCTGAAATCTAATAGCATTTGCTACATCTTCTTTTCCATAAACAGAAAGTCATGTGCTTAATACTTCAGGTGAAAGATGCAGAAATTCCTAAATCCAGACACAGCCAGAGAATCACAACAAACTTTACTGGGTTCAACAGATGACCTGTCTTCCTGGGTCATACCTACAATCCTCTTTTGGTTTCAGATTTAAATCCAAGTCCTAGAAAAAGCTGGACCCATTTGTGTTTTAAAACTCTGAAAGGACAATGCTGCTAAGTGTTTAAGCCCAAAGTGGCATGAGTTCTGAGGTAGAGTGCTGGACACAGGAGACTTCTCTGTTCAGGACAACAAACGTCCAAGAGTAACTTTAAATAATTTGTCCACTTGAATGCAGCAGAAATGTTCAGTGGGTAGCCATTTATTTGTGTGTAAAATTACTGTACAAACTTGTTTATAGAATTGAGCACTAAAAATTATTCTCTCAAGTGCAAGGAAGAGGGACAGAAATTAAAAGGTACCTGTGATCACCCAGTAGTCTCTAGTTGACTCTGAGACATCAAGGTTTGGATACTCCAGAGCTTTAAAATAAAAGTTGAAGTTATTTCATAATATTCCAACATCCTACACATCCAAACTATCTGGTCAACCAAACACTGATAAATAAAATCAAACTATGGCTTTTCTACAAGAACTGTATGGGGCATAGTACATTATTGCTCAGCCCAGGAGGAGATATGGAGGCATAACATGATTTCACGATCACGATTTCTCTCTTGTCCGAGAGGGCAGAAATCAAGTATAAACAGTAGGGAGTGCTGTACAAAACAGAATATGTATCTTTTGTTGCAAAAATATTGGCTAGTACATTGGGACAAATTCAAGGACTGCCCATGGCTAAAGGTCGTATGTAATATGCCTGTATATATGCTTTATATATGTCTGCTGTTTTCCCTCTTTGAGTAAACCTTTATAGAAAACATGATGACACTTTATGATGATTCTATGATTTAATCCTTAGTTAAGCCAGGCCATAATTTGATCCTAAGGTAATATTAAAATAAACAAGGATCAAATTCCACCAAATACAGAGGGCATTTCCATATTCTAGTTTCCATCACCCCGATCTACCAGAAAGCATCATATTAGGCTTCTAACTAAGAACGTTTCACATCCATCTCAGAGCGCTGGGCAACAGAGGGGATAGCAACACCTTCCACTGGCTTCTGAGAAAACTAACATAGAAATGCACGTACAATAATGTCTTGTTTATCATATAATCCCAATAGAACCAGTTATTTCAACAGGACAGTTTTTGAGAGCACACTGCTGTACAGTCTGAGCAAGTCTGGCTGAATCAGGTTTTAAGTAAGCAATCTGAAGAATTCAAGTGAATTCAGAATCCACCCAGTTTTGTGTGTCTGAGTGTGTTTACATATGCACAAACACATATGTATACATACATACACACATATAGACACACACACAAATATATAAAAAATACATGCATATATACATATATATAGTGCATGTATTTTTTTTTGGAAATAGACTTATTATATGAATTATAAGTGAGATTAACAAAACTGTGAAAATTGCTTTAAAGTGTAGTACATATATATTGAAAGCATGACACTGCTGCACCATTTAAGGTATTAGTACCATCTGTGCTGACATCTGTGAGAAACTTGTGTTTACTATTTTGATGCTTTTTGTTAACTTTTTCATCTCAGAAGTGCATTAGGTTGTAAAATTCAATATGGTGTTAATTCATTATACAGATCAGCACTTTCTTCAATAAATTTATGCAACATGGAAAACATTACTTGCAACTTAATCAGAAAATATCCATGCTTTTCATGCTGATGCACTGATATTTAGTCACCTTATGTTTTTAAAATTCCAAAATGATCTGAAATACTAAACAATGTAAAGCATCAGATTATGCAGAGTAAATGCTTTTGAGAAGGAATTTCATTGTATGTTCTTAGCTGTGCGTTTCTACGATAGACTGTGAAGGCTCTGAAGGAGCTGCAAGAGTAATAACGTATTCTGAAAATGACATAAATATTTGCTTGATAAACTAAAACCACTGCACTGCCACATGAATAAACACTACTTTTCTAAGTAAACATTTTCACAACACAAACTACCAGTCTGATGCCATAAATACTACGCGCACATTAAGTTTGCTGTATACCTGCTGTGCTGGGAATACAGTCAAGAACTGCAACATGAAATATAAGCCATTACTTGTTAAAGGAGCACTAGCTAAAGACTCTATTGGGCCAATTAATCATGTGCTGGAATCAGCAGAGAACTACAATACCACATGAGAGACTGCCTATGTGACAGACGACTTCCCAAACTCCTAACAAGTACATTCCTGTTACTGCCTTTGTGAAAAGCACCATAAGCCTTTTCTGTTGGAACAGGCCCCACTTCAGAGGCCAAAATATTGAATAGAGCAGAGCCATCATCAGAACACCCCCGAGCTTTCTGCTTGCACTCCTGGATACCCTGTGAAGACAAGTCTCATACACAAGGCAGTCTTCTGACAGGCTCATGGGTCAGTCAGAAAAAGAGAGTCGCATAATGAATGGTCTATAATCCCTTCTAAATCCTTGCATTAAACAGTTGTCAAGAACCTTCCTCCACCTTCCTTTGCCTGTAGAAAGAACTGATAAAAATGCAAGTTAATCCAAAAGACGCCTGTTTTATACTTTGATGGAAAATCTGATTCAACAGTGCACTAGTGCAGTGTAATAACTCATCACTTGACAGTTTCACCCACAGTCATTTCGTTACAAATATCTGTTTTGGATAGGCAACATCTCAGGAATAATATATGCTTCTACTTTCACAAGGACTTGCATAATCACCACAGTTCACTGTGATACCTGACCTACTCACACTGCAAAGCGATCACTTACCTAATAGAGTATTCATAGTACAACTAATTGATCAAAAATTGCACAAGATAATTATTCTGCTGTTAGCCTGTTTGTAAGACAGGCTAGCCAACAAGGTAACTTGTATTTTCCCTCGTACCCACTCTTCAACAGTCTGATTCTACTTTTTCTTAGAAACAGAAAATAAACAAGCACGTCAATGATTTTACTTAGAGGTACAAACACACTTACTCTAGTATTCTGATAATAAAGGCATGCTTGCCTCTACACTCGTACACTTAATTACTTCAGTACTTCTGAAATTAAAAATTACTTTGTCATTGTTTCAGCCTTATCAGTGAGTTTGAAGGCTGCTAGAAGCTTAACTAGATGTATTTGAGCACAGTATTTTAAATTTAACAAGTATCTCATGCAGATTTACACACAGTAAGTTCAGCTGAAACCTGTCCTTACTTAACTGAAGTCCATTATCAGGCACTTACATATCCATTCTGTCTTTTTGTCTCCTTCCACTTTCAGTGAACACTGATCTTTTCCACAGAATGGATAACTTGTCCCTATAGTGAGCTTAATTTCACATGCTGAATTTAACAAGCAGATTAAACAGAAATCCTCATAATCAAATGTCCTGTCTCTACTCGTTTTAGAGAAACTAGCATACAAAGAGAGTCAAAGAGCATACATGCCATAAAGACTGCCCAGTTGCACAACCTTCTCTAGCTCTCAGCGCCTCTGACTCTTCATAACAACTGAAATGCAAGTGAATTACTGACACTTGTGCTTAGACTACATTTTAAACTAGGTATGAAGTTCAGCAAACTGTTCATTGTCAACTTTTTAAAAGGAGATATGTAAGCAGAGCTCACCTACTATCCAAGTATGTTGGCATTCAAAGCATACTACCAAGTCCTCCTACTGAAAGAAGTATTGGAGTCTAATTCTTTCACTGTAGTTAAAGGCTATGCTGAAGATGAACTTTATGCGATGCAGTACGTTTCTCTGAAATGGAGAACTGGGGAGGTTCTGTGTTTTGTTTTAAATAAAACTACAATTTTAATTTGTTTGGAACCTGGCACAGTTGTTTATTTATTGAGAGCACATATGTGCTGTTTCTTAATTATCTGCCAGTTTCTAGAGGCTGAAGCAGACATTGAATGAAGAAAAGTTTGGGTTGTTTTTTTTTTTGAACAAAGACAGTAAAGTCAGCAAAAAAGTACAATCTGTGACCCTCATGAAAAAGCTTATGGTGCTTTCAAATCAAACACATAGGGCTGGCTCATCTTTAAGAGCACTGTGTCGAGAAGTGCATACTTACATTCAGCAATGGTGAGAGGTGGGTAGGTTAGATAGAATCCTACCAGTTCAGCCGATAACTGATTAAGAAGGTTGCTGGAAATGGTGCCATTCAGCGTTGTGCTTTGATTGCTGACCACATAAAACAGAGTGACAGCTTGGGAGACATTGGAGGCATTCAAAATCTGAAAAAGAAGTTAAAAAAAAAAAAAAAAAAAAAGAGTAGCTGTGTTTCAGCTCAGATTAAAAAAATGCAAACAACAAATCCAGGAAATCTGAACTAGAATACTTTACCAGATACAGCTCACTCAACATTCATGTGTAAAACAGTCTATGATACTTTTAACTCCTTGCTTAGCATATGAGGAGTTATTGGAGAACTACTGCAGGCAAAAAAGGTGCAGTCTGAGTGAAGAAGTTTTTTTCCCCGTCTCTTGAACAGGAACTATAAGATCAGAGTGAAAGGATGACTATCTGAAAAAAATGTGCAACATGTATGACGCAGATGAGTAAGGCCTGTATGTCTCTCGCTTTCTTTGCTCGCGTCCCAGTGCGGTTATCTAGATTTTCTCTTTTTCCATAAGAAGTAAAGGCATCTGCTCTTTCTTTCCTAACATCATATTGCTACCTGCTCTCCTCCCCACTTTAGCTCTATATCAGTCTCTTCCTAGGTCCAAATCTACGAGCACTGTATTTAATGACTAATTCCATTTAGTGAGTGCTGAATCAGATCCTCAAATATCAGTTTTACTGGGGGAGGCAGGAAGTGGAAAAAGCGGTAGGAATGGGAAAACATGCTTTCTCAGAAAACTCAGACTCTGGGAAAACTTTTTTTTTTTTTTTAATTGGCACTATAGGTAGGACTGACAGCATTCATCATTCACATATATTATTTAACTACCCCATTTGTATGATTTCAGTCAAAAATATATAATACGACACAAAAAAACTTTAGAACTACAGCTCTGGGTCAGATCAAAAGTCTGTCTAGCAGATATCCACTTATAAACGGCCAGGAGCAGATGCTTGGAGAAGGAGCACAGGAACAGGGCAAGAGAAGAGGACGATTTTCCGCAGTGTAAGCTCCTAGCTTACAGCTGAGGAACATTCTGAGCCATAAATCATATGCTTGTGTTTAAAAAGTATTGATGGATTTTTATCCTATCTGTTTGGCCAATTGTTTTTTGTAATTGTTATACTTTCTCTTCAATTACATCTAAGCATATTCAAGATGTTATTATCCATTGCACATTTCATGCCTTTTATCCATCTTGCTGCCCTTCTCCATACCTCCTCTAGTTCTGCCACATCTTTTCTGCATAGGCTCCACCTGCTCCAAAACTTTTCCGCAGCTCAGACTATATCTAACACCCTTGCACTGTTTTCTGTTGCACTGGCTTAGTCCTTTGCGTGACATTGGGATCATTTCAGAATATGTTATCATGAAGGCTCTTTACCCTCTTACCTTCTAGCTTATCTTTTGCCTCCAGGACCTACCTCCCACATAGCTATTGCCTTCTTCTAGGGCTCTAAGAAATTATCTAGATGCTCACAGGATCGTAAGCCCATACAGAGCTTTATCAGAAGGCAAATACATATCATTCACCCACAGGAGATTTTTTTTTGTTCCTGAAGTATGGCACAGAGTATAAGAGGGCTGGCCCACCACATATATAAAGTTTTGCAAAAATCAAGTCCTCGGTACTAAGTTTGAATTTGCAAGTATGGAACTGGACTGCACAAAAAAAGAAACATATTCCATTAGTATAGATCTTGAAAACAGTTATGCATATCATTACCTTCATAGCTGAATAGTCTTACTAAAAGCAACTGATTTATCAAAATAACACTTGAGTAAAAATATACATTTGGAGGAATATCTTTTACTTCATTTTCATTTAAATTACACTCAAATAATATAAATATATTTCTCAAAAGGATAACATTGTGCAGACAGTAAAATTCATATTCAAGAAAATAACAATTTTCTATCCTATAAATGCATGATTTATAGTTTTATATATTGCAGGAAATCTTATTTCAGATGACAATATAAACTTGTTTCCATAGTGGCTATCAAACATATTACGTTGAAACACAAGCATACACACAGCAAAGAATAACCCAGAGCATTTGACAACAAGCACTGGCAAAGCAGACAGCATTATACCTGAACTGTTAAGTTGTTGCTAGTATTTAAGACCTTTCGTTCAGCATCCTGAAAGGCCCTCTGTAATCGTTGCTCCATGGTCTGAACAAATTTGCACGACTGTATATTGTCTGTTTGACCCACAAACTGCAGCTCTAGAAAAGGAAGAATGTATTTGTGTGTCGCGACAAAATATTCTTAGCCACATAACTCCCATATAGTGTCTGACAGCAAAATGATCAACTTATAAATTAAGCAGGTGAAAATAACGCCACATAAGATTACATTTAAGCACTGTTGTAAACTACCCTTAATTAAGATAAAATACAAGGATTGGATTACGTTATTAGACCTGATACAAACAAATGGAGATTGCTCCTATGGTGATATATAAGACAGTTAAGACCAGTTCATTGTACATATTCTTACTCAAAGCCAGGCAGTAAGTGAAAGCCATTCTAAAACAGTAGTTATACTCTTAAATCTTGCAAGTCATTAGCCCTTACAAGACACAATCAGTCATAATACTGATTCTCATTCTATTGTGATAGAAAAAATATGCCTAACTGGGTAATTGCAATATGTCTGTGTACATAAATATATGAGCACACACATAAGAAATCTCTTTACAATTGAGTATGTTGTTTTAGAGGGCTGAGACAGTCATTTTGAACTGTAACACTCCTCCTACCCTATCAAAGACCAATTTTAGGACTGAAGCTCTCCTTTTTTTCCATATTCAGGGAAAGCTTCCCATACAGCACCCAACTCTGCCTTCTTGTAGCTTATTTTCCTCTACTGCCCTGCAGCTGCTCTACACTGATATTCACTATAGTGGTACAGAGGGATTAAACAATGATCCAGATTTAGACGGTTAAAACCCAAGTCAAATCAAACGGGTCTAGCCAGACCAATATATTTTTATCACATAGTCATGCTTCTCATCTGATCCTCTTCAGAAGAGACGCGCAGGTTACTACATAACCTGTAGAGCAAAGTTCATTTTTAACCAAAGGCCACATCGTTAAGTTTAAAAATTTAGTTACACATATTGGCTTCACCCATCCTTAATGTAATGGCATTTCGTTTCATGATAGTGTCAACAGAGGCGAAGTGTGCACTTGCACACAGGCAATCCCACTTATACTGGGATCATGCATACAAAACTGTGGCAAACTTCGTCCTGCTGCTTATTACTGCTCTGTTACACCAGAGAGCCAGAGGGCGGGGAAACACAGCAAAGAGGAGGAGTCTCATAACATTTATGGCCTGATCTGTTAACAAAATATGCAACTGTTCTCACAAGCAGGCAGGCTACTGCTTACCTGTTTTCAGCTGGAAGTGGTATGCAGGTAGGGGATTCCATGGCACAGCCAGGACAGCAACAGACTGAAGATTTGGTACATGCTGCTTTATGTCTGCTGTGGCATTGCTAATACCATAAGCAATAAGCCTTCCAATTACCACAGCTGGTATAAAAACTAGCCTCTCCTGTGTAACATAGTAACCAACTGTTACGTTATTTGATTGTTCCAGGATTTCAACCTAAAACACACAGGGGAAAAAATTATTTAGTTTGCAATTTAACTATTATTCAACTAGAGTTCTCATTCTCCATATGGATCCCTTGCAGGACTTTTTGGTGTAATCTCCTGTAAACCTAATAGGATCAGCAAATATCATATCAGATACCGTATTAGCAAAACTGCTTTGGGACTTTTAGTCTTAGCTCATATAACATGCGCTCCCATTTAAAGCACTGTAGTATTGTTACCACAGCTCACTTGACTAATTTAGGCTGCAGCTTCGTTCACATATAGGGACATTTTACTTTTGAACCTAAAAACATAGAGAATCCAGAGAACATCTATCCCTTATTTGATACCTGAAGAAGTTCACTGAATTTGTGCCCGTGTCTGTCTTTGAAGGTTTGACGTTCTATTTTTCAAACGGCAAATTTTTCCAATATTTGATTCTTCAATCTCAAAAGACCGTTCCATCCTATTTATCCTATATTCTAATAGCTAAGCTACCACCTATATGACAGACCACAAGAACAAACACACTGCGAGCCAAAACAAAGCATTCATTTTTACCTCAAAAAAAATACAGTTTCTAAGAAATTTAAGCCTTGAAACTTGTCCTCCACACTAAGTTTGAGCTGGGTTCCTCTGTAGGAAAAGGCAATCTCTCTCAGGTTTACAACATGGCAGGAGAATAAACCTCACAATTTTTATTGCAGCTTCTGAGACTCTCAGGAACCTACAATTCCTGAACTGGCTAACATCATCGGAAACTGCAGCCATAGAATACCGGGACAAAAGTGAATCTCAGGCCGGGGGGAGCTCAGAGACCCATCGGTCATCACTGGAATACGTAACACTAGCTAGTCAGCCACAGTCCTTTTAGTATCTACCTCTCCCCAAGGATACCTGCCACTTGGCTTTGACAAAGCCAAATCACTCAGTTTCATAAGGCCTACAAGCAACATGTATTTTCATTTGTTTATGTTTTGGGACAGTAAGATAGAATTAGGTGTAAATGCAGATAGGAGGCATACTGAAACCAGGTGCTACTCGGTAAAAAAAGGAAGGACAGCCCACACAGAAATAAGTGTTTCCATGCCTACAGCTCACAATAATGTTGCTGCCACCCACACAAAGGCCACCGATTCTTAATATAATAATTTATTATTTTCTCTTGGTGCGAGAGCTGTTTCAGTGTGATCAGGCAGGTAAACCAAGCATGCTTACCTGAGCACTAACGTTTTGGTTGAAAGCTTGTCTCAACACTTGGTTCAGTCCTTTTGTCACACTCTCCTTGAAAGAATTGCTGATCAGTAGCCTTCTTGTGTTCAGAAGCAGAACTAGGTAACAACAAAAAGTTACATGATAGTTTGAAACCGTAACATACTATCTGCCTTTTTCTATCATTTTATTTTGATTAGGCTAGTTCAGCAGACATCACAGAAGCAGCCAGGATTTGCAGCAGCTACAATGCAAGTAAAAACTACAGGGGCTAAGCCGTGGCCCAGAACTCACTACTCTTCTGATGACAATAACCCTTTGTTTCCAGAGTGAGGTCTAACAATTGCAGTTTCTTTTGTAATAAGAGTAAGTTCGTGCCATGCTGCTTTTCCGAGTGAGGTACAATGTCATTTGATTGCCTGCAGATACACTAGTGCAGCATTCCCAGGTGATTGATTGAGCTGGTGCACACAGGCAGGCCTACAAAAAGAAAAAGTACTTCAGACGTTCACAACCAGAGTTAAAGAAACAAGGAAATGTGTTATTCCACCTCTACAATTATTTTCAATTTGGAAGTGTCCGTATACTTTGTTTCTTAACTTTACTGTTCTAGGAAAAAACTAGAGAGTTATCACTAGCTTTTTCTTTTTCTCACATAATTTGCAGAATGAGTTTTGTATCCGCACTGAAGTACTTTCAACCATATACTACGTACAAGCTAGGTGCTTGGCTTTTACCCCAGGCTTTTACCTTTAGAAATAGTTGTTGCGCTCACTATGCTCCTGCT